GAGCGGAGCGGCGACGGAACGCAAGCAATTGGGGTTTAGTGTTTGTGGTTAGTGTTAGCATGTTGAAATGTAATGAAGTCAATGGAATGTCCCCAAATGGATAGCTGTGCAAGTGTGTGTGTGTGTGTGTGTGTGTGTGTGTGTAATTGCGAGTCTTTGTACAAGCTTTCTAACATGACTGAGCATGTGTGGCCTATACCTGTGTGAGTTTTTAAGTGTTGCAGTGAATTCTGGTGAGTGTGTTTTGACATGTGAGGGCATTCATTTGAGACAATACACAGACATCTAAGTACTCTTTGCATTTGTGGACCCTTTTAACTAGCCTTGATAGTATGCCTGTGTGCTTGTAAAGGATTTGCCGCTGGCTTGATCGGTTCACTCATAAGAGAACTAGAGGAAGAATAGGTACAATAAAAGAATGAGATCAAACAAACACGTTCATCCCTGTCTGTGAACTCAAACACCAAACAGAGGAAAGCTTGTTATTCACAGTCAAGGGATGATACAGAAACAAGGCAATTCTAATAAATAAATAAATAAATAAATAAAACCCTGCCCTTTTTTCTGCAGCGCCATTTTAGCAAAGCCAGTATGGTACATAATGCATCTTTTATTCTGTGATGCATAACAAAATACAAATAATCTGGTTTTTCCAGGTTTTAAAGATATTTTAATCTAAAGTCAAATGAACAAAAGTAAACAATAGGTTCCACCATGCCATTATTCAATAAATTAAGTATTGTTAAATTAATTATTGTCTTTATTCTAAGCAGGATTTTTTTTATTTCTGATTTGGTCAGTCCAATCATTGTCCCTATTGTATTTATAATTGTGTCCTTTATTGCTTTTTAAACATCATGGCCAGGGGACTACAGATGAAAAATAACTTTTTGGCTAAGTTTGGCTTTTTTATCTTGTGTATTGTCATGCATTTTATTAAATTGCACTGTACCCTTTCAGATAAGTAAATCAAATCAAAAGGCAAAATCTAAATGAAAAATGTGTATAGAACTAATTTCATCGATCCCAGCCTAGTCCATGAGATTTAAAGGGGCAATATTATGTGTTTCACAGGCATATATTTAAATACTATACCATAATAAAGTGTCTATGTCACCTTTAGTTCTTAATAAAATGCTGTTTTTATGTTTAAATAGAAAATAAACTTATCTTCTCATCACTTCCTCTTCTAAACACCTTGAAATTGGCCTCTGTCTCTTTAAGAACACTTTCCACTTCTATCTCG